CGGTTCAACTAGTGACCCACCGGTTCAACCTTTGACCCACTGACCCAGTACCTTAACCGGTTCGATGACCGGTCCAGTTTTTAAAACTATGAGGTCAGGGGTTCGAATCCTGCCTTGTGTATGCAGCCGCGTTAAATCCTGGGACCAGCTATCTCACCCTTTGAGGTGCCTCCAACGTAGCGAGGAGATTAGTCACTGCTATCGGCGGTGAATACTCCAGGAACGAACCTAAAAAAAAAAGAAGTTATTAAAGATGTAATTCATTAGCTTTCACGTATGTCAACAGATTTTGTCCTATATATAATAATTTTATATCAAGATTGAAATTATTGATCATAAATATAAAATATAAATTAGTTTATAAAAAAATTATTATACACAACAATTTATGATTGAATATTATAAGTTGTAATTAAATTTCATTTCTTAACTATTATTTTTTATTATTGCAAGATAAAGGAAATAAGGGATGAATTGTTTGTTTCTAATAAATTTCCGAATGAGGTAATAAAAAAATGAAAAAGGCGTGAAACATGATCTCTAAGATAAGGTGTTTCCTAATTAAAATAATCAAACGAGTGCTGAAAAGGTTTGAATGTTTGACTAAAGAAGATAGAGAGTTTGACAGCCACCTTTGAACCTTCTTCAGTTCTTCTTCTACTTGGCCTTTTATAAACCACACTCCCTCAACAAAGTTAAACACAATACTACAATACTCAAAAACAAGACAAAACAAAATTAAGCATTTCCAACACAACACAACCATGATGGCTCATACTACATCACCACCACCGGATAAAACCGAAACCTCGTCAAGCCTCGCCACGCTGCACCCCGACATCATCCACGCGCACATCCTCACGCGCCTCGACGGCGCCACGCTGGCCTCCGCTGCCTCCGTCTCATCCCTCATGCACCGCCTCTGCACCGAAGACGATCTCTGGCGCCACATATGCACCGCCACCTGGCCCTCCTTGCAAGACCCCTCCGCCCGCCACGTCATCTCCACCATCCCCGGCGGCTACCGTTCCATTTTCTCCGACGCCTTCCCTTCCCTCCACCACTTTTCTCTCCGCCCCCACCGCCCACCGCCGCCTCCGCCAGAGCTAATCTCCGCCGTGGATATATATTATCAGGGAAAACCTGTTTTCTCGCGCGTGAAACGCACCCAAACGCAGAAAAACTGGTTCCTCTCCTCGCCCCTCTGGCTAGACGCGCTCGAACCCAACGAGGTAAAGAAAAAAAATAGTAAATATATTAGCGACCGATTTTATCCACGAAAATCATCATAAAATTTCACGTAACTGACAGTAACAGTTTTTTAAAACTTACGTGTAAATTAATTATTTTATTAGGACGCATTTGTTAAAAAATTATTTTTTTCCAAATCCGTCGCTAAATTTCGTCACTAAATTGGTCTCTAAAGTAAACTTTTTTTAATTTATTGATTATAGTTGATTCCGACGACGGTGAAGTTTGCGAGGAAGGACGAGGAGTGGCTGAGGCATTTCGAGGAGAACCTGAGCGTGAGCTGGATAGTGGTGGACCCGGCGCAGGGGCGGGCGGCGAACGTGTCGAGCCGTGGGGCGGTGGCAGCGCGGCGGCACTGGCTGACGCGGGACTTGGAGGTGGTGTACGCGGCGGAGATGGCGGGGGAGCGGCAGCATGCGATGGAGAGGGTGCAGTGTGTGGTGAAGGTCACGTGCTGCGGGAAGGTGGGCGGGGAGCTGCACGTGAGGGAGGTGAATTTGGTGATGGAGGACACGGAGGGGCGGCACGTGACTGGGAAGGAGGGTCTGGCCATTCTGCAGAGGGCCATGGAGTGCGGAGAAAGGAAGAGAATTGATCACGTGAGGGATAAGGAGAGGTTTGAGAATTTCACGTGCTTGATGAAGGAGAAAAGAGAGTGTAAACGTAAGAGGGAGAAGGCAAAGGATGTTGCTTCTACTTTGCTCGCTTTTCTTGCTCTTCTATTCTTTTGCTTCATCGCTGGATCAAAGACCTAGCTATACTATACTATCACATTAACCAGAATCATTACACCAACACTTTAACAAAGCAAGTCATCACATCTCACAACATATGTATTTTAGATTTAGATTTTTTAATACTCATATAAATTACACACTCCATTTAATATTATATTTATATATATGTGAAGTTTCTTATTCTTTTTACTCATTAATTTCCTTGTAATGGGAAGGTGAAATTTTACATCTATTTGGCTGTCATGTCCTTCTCTACTTGTTGGGAATTTTCATTTTCTTGGTTGTATCTTGTATGCTTCTAGGATGTTTCACTTATGACTAGATATAATATTGTTGGTTCAATTTTGGTGTAATTTTTTGTGGAATTTAAGTTGGACTTTTGCTTCATTTTGGTCATGGGTTCCGTTGATTTTGGTGGAGTGAGAAAAATTGGTAAACCAACGTCTTTCCTCATGCTCCCATTTATTTAATTTTGATATGACGGCTACATCGAAATGCCACGCCACTTCTCTCCTTCTCAATCTGAGAAGCTATAGAGGTTTTATCAAAAAATAAATTTTTTATTTAATTGACGTCCATTCTTAGTATAAAAGAAATATTATTGATTAAAACATATATGCCGATGAAGAAAGAGACATTATGTATCTCTATATATTTTATTTTAAAATAAATGAGAGCTCATCAGTTGTAATAAAAGGAATAAAATAATTTAATTAAAATGTGTACACTAAAAAAATGTTTCTATATAATAATTTATTGGATAGTATTTTTTTGACAATTTTTAATTGAATGTAATTAAAAGAGCAGAATTTATTAAATGAAAAAGAAAATATAATTAGACAATAATATAAAAAACGTTTGTTTATTTATTTATTTTAGAAAGCGTCTAAGGCACATTACGCAAGAAAATATTATTTACACACCCACGTGGGTGACGGGGTAAGAAACTAAAGCAACGTATATTATTATTCATTGATGTTAGAGCTTTCAAAACTGACTGATTACGCCGAGGGACAATTTAAAAAATTCGGAGCACAAACCTGGCTTATCTTTTACTAAGTTACTCTTTGGTCTTTTTTTTTTTTTATTATTTAAAAGGTTAACTTGATATTACAGTTAAAAGTTTGATCGATCCCTTAAAATTTTTAAAAAATATTTATTATTATTTTTTAATTTAAATTGACGATGTTATTTTCTCATACATGTTATTTTTTTATGTATTATGTGTACAAGAAATTAATACTATTAATTTAAATTGGATGAAAAAAGCAACCTTTCATTATTTTAGTGTCACTATAGGTATAATATATGTAGATATATACCTATTTGACATATAGCTACATACAATTTTAGTGTTGATTTTGAATGAGATTTAACAATATATTTTGTATGACACTATAGCCTATACTTACACTCTTTAACAATATACCAACATATATTATATTTATTGTGTGGGTAAAAGTAATTTTTAATGACACGTATTATGTTACTATAGGGTGTGTGTCACTATACGACAATTTTCTTGTAGTAAATTAGTTTATTTTATTTTTATAAAAATTATTTATATATTTATATTTATATTTGATTTTGTTGGAAAAAAGTTTTGGAGGAAAAAGAAGTTAAGAATTTTGGAAGAAAAGAAATTATTGTAAAACTTCTTTTCTTTATATTGTTAGTAGATGTTATAATGATGATCTCATGATGTTGCTCTCATTTACCAATTATGTGATCTCATTATATATTAAAAAGAAAAAACTCACGAAATATATTTAACTAAGTTAGACATTTTTTATGCTATCCATTGAAATCTAAATGACTAACATGTAACTTAAAAAATCAAAGATTCAACTTAATCAATATTTGTAATAAAATAAATAAACAAATTGTTTCAATATGAAAACTCAAAAGTTTTAAAGATTGTTTATAATTCGAGTATTTGAAAAGTGTGTAACATATTTTTTCTTTAAAACTATATGTTTCAATTTATACTAAAATTATTATTTATGAGTCTCGTAATTTTCGTAATTTTTGTTATAAAATTTTGGCATGATTGATATTACATTATAACCTTCAATCAATGTATTAATGATGTTGATCTTCATATTAAATCTTGGTTTAATAAATATCTAATCATCTCTAAATTCAAACAACTAACTTGAGCATTATAAAATAGGTAGACTTCTCAAAATATTTCTAAGATGCTACACTTGCTTTCTAGCCTTGAATACAAGGTGCATAAAAGGTTGTAGGTGACCCTTTCCATATTTTACCAATTAGTTGAGGTTCCTTTAAACATTCTCGCGACAATACACTTGTCTCCAACCTATAAAAATGGTGTGTATGACATGCATGCATTCCTTTTCATATTTTGTCAATTAAATTAGGCCCCTTGAAATATTCTCAAGACAATACACAAAGAAATAAATAAATAAGAAACAATATATTTCATTAAAGATATAATTGTAAATTTTAATTCTAAAACCTTATTGGATATTTTAAATAATTTTTACAAAGTTTATCTAAAAAGTTGAACTAGTGCAAGCAAATTATAAACCTTTTTTAAAAGTTATTTGAGCAAATTTAACAATTGACAAATTTATTAAAACAATTTTTTTGTTGACTTATTCAGCTTAAATGCCTGTAATTAAAACATCATGAAGATCGAACCTAATGAATTGCTACTACGAATCCTACTGATGACGTGGACCACCAGTTTTTCTACCTCATTCATTGATGTTTTGCTCCATGGATTATGAAGGGATTAATGTAGACCCCACTTTATCTTATATGATCCAATGTGGCACAACGTCATTGAGTAACTCTCGCATCCATGCAAACGCAATCCAAACCCAATCTAATTCAACATTTGCCAGAAAATAACAATAATATCAAGAATAGGAACACAAAAACCACCATAGCCACTATTTGCTCGCACTTCTTATTCAGTGGCATTCATCACTCTCAAAGATCAGAGCCAAAATGACAACCACCTTCGCGACCGTCGCAGGACTCGGTGGCGCATCACTGTCATCCACCTCCTCTCGTCTCACCTCAGGTATCATATACATTAATTTGTCATATAGTGTCAGTTTTTTGAAAATTGATTTTGAATGAAATATGTAAAACTTAATATAAAGTTTTCCATCCAATATATATAATAAAAGTTATCTAAGTTGTTTTAATTTAAAATCAATTCTTGACATATGATTAACTAAGATTAAATACACAACCATTTATCTAACATCATGTTTAATTGTTATTTTAACGTAATTTTGGATCACATAAAGTCAAATACACTCAAAATTATCATCAAATACTTAATTAATTAATTAGTATAAGATTGTTTCAGTTTAATTAGTGATTTTGAGTTTGAATTTTAAATATATAATTATAATAAATATTAAATTATCCATAATGATGATACCTATCGTATGGGAGGCATTATCTACGTATGTTAAACCAGATTGTCTCATGTGGAAAAAACTTGTATTCTACACAATACAAAAATATACTTAAAAATTACTCACCAAGGTGTACAATATTGTAAACTCTTTGATATCAAGTTTTATTTTCATGAATAAAATAAAACTCATAATTTAAAAAATTGTTCCTAACTTCCTATAAACTGGGAATTGAAGATGAGCATGTTGTGTTGTAATTTGTTTGCAGGGTTTGTGAAATCGCCAGTGAGTGCTAGGAACCCCTTGAGGCAAGCTGTGGCAATGGGAAACGGTGGGAGAGTTACATGGTAATATTTTAGTAGAAGATAGATTATTTAATTTGTGTGAATTTGAAATGAAAGGAAAAGTTAAATGAAGGGTGGCGGAGAAGATTAATTAATTAATTAGTGTGATTTAGAAGTTGAAGAAAAAGTTAAATGAATGGTGACATTTTGTGAGTTGATGCATGAAGCTTCCAGAGGAATTGGCTGCGGGCAGATTACAGTGTGATCGGGTTTGGGTTGATCGGCTGGATCGCACCCTCAAGCGTACCGGCTATCGACGGTAAAAGTCTGACTGGGCTCTTCTTTGAGAGCATCGGAACTGAGCTTGCTCACTTCCCCACGCCTCCTGCCCTTAATTCCCAGTTCTGGTTAGTCACTTCACCCTTTCTCTTTTTCTATCATTCTTTATTCTTAGTCAATTAATTCTTATTTACTTTAGCTTATATTAATATTAATATTAAGAAAATGACAATAAGAAATGGAAATATTTCTGAAAAATTTGTGCATGATTGTAATCAACAAGGTCAGATAACAACAAATAAAATCAATTTTTCAATTCAAAATTATTTCTTTAAACCCATACACATAGACATAGTCTTAATTAGCTTTGAGATGCTAGGATAACTGAGAAAAACAATAGATGAATTACAGAGTCTTGATCTTATAACTTTATATCAGAGTTGCTGTTTTTTTTTTTTTTTTTGAATTTAGTTAGTTTATATTTCTTTTGACTTATTTTAAAGAAATAATATTATTTTTTACAACTTACAGAATTTTTTTTTTCAAAATTAATTCCAAATAAACATGTATTTAGTATATACCTGCAGTTTAAAAGGCTTTAAATTCCTATTCCCTAATATTTTAACACAGTTGTGTATTTCACTATTATATTAGTCAACAAGACAATGATATTTAAATTCTTATTTTGGCTATAAAAGATTATATATTTAAAAATAGTTTGGATCATGATATATACACCTCATTTTTTTTGATAAGTACACCCTATTTTTTTAAAAAAAAAATTAAAATTTTAAAATATCCTAAATTTGTATTATTTTTATTTTTTAATTTTACACTCCTAACATTTAATTTAATTCTCTTTTTTACATATCTCTTTCCTTTATTTTCACATGTACCCCCTTAATTTTTCTTCACCCCACCTATTTTGGTAGGTAATTTTAATTCTTTTAGTTTTACATTATTCTTTTTCCCTTCCTCTTTCAGTTTTCTCATTGATTAGTACTCTAGAATAGTGAAAATGTCTTTTTCATAACACTAAATTTGATATTAAAGTTTTTGGATGTGTGAAAGGAAAGGAAGTGTTAAAAGAAAAAATGTGTGTCTAGTCTGATAGAAACTATCGAGGAAGTTACACTTACCTACAATGTTATGGCCTACCAGTTCTATGATTTGGGTGCATGTGAAAAAGTGAAAGAAGTGAGAAAATAAGAGAGTAATAAAAAAATTAAGAGAAGTAAAACTACCTATTGAAATAGGTGATGAATTAGAGAAAGACAAGATAGTACATGTGAAAACAAAAAAAAGAAAGAGGAAAGAAGTGTGTGAAAAGAAAAATTAGTAAATTAAAAATTAGAGATGTAAAATTAAAAATTTTAAAAATAAAAAGAATTATGAATATTTTAGAATTAAAAAAAAAATAATAAAGGAGGTGTACTTATAAAAAAAGGAGGTATATATATCATTAGCCAAATAGTTTTGCGTAACTTTAAAGATAAAAATTATGGGAATAGGGACTTGGGCATAGAGAGCAAATGCTCCAACGTGTAAGCCCATTTAGTTTAGTGGGCCAAAGTTTGAAGTATCAGAATATTTGTGTCTATTTGCTGTTGTTTTGTCTTCTCTTGTACAATTTCAATAAATTCGATGATTGTTTCTATCAAGAGTAAAAAATACACTTTATTTTTTCGTGTATGTTATTTAAAAATAAAAATAAAAACAATTGAATTGAATATGAGTGAACTGTTAATAATTAGGAGGGTATGCAATTTTGAGTAATTGTGAATGTAAAATAAGATTAAAAAAATAGTGGACATCAAAACTGCAAAATATCTCTTATATATATAATATAAATTAATAAGTCTTTTTTTTTATAATTTTTTTATTTTAACTTAGACTATATTTGAATAAGTTTCCTACAAATATTTATAAAAAAAATGAAATATATTTTTTTTCATAAATTATCTTATAAACAAGTTAAAAATTAACCTTAAAAAAAATAATATGATACAAAAACTCTTACAAATTAAATTATTTATGAAATAATTTGAAGTTATGAACAATATTTAACATTTTTTAATTTTTTCTTACAAATAAATTTGTTCAAATATTAAAATTTTAATTGATTACAATATTATCTTTCCCCACCTTACACATTAATTATGTATCAACAATTTTTTTTTTGACATGGATAAATCGATTTCTATATTTTTCTAAGCGTTAAAAACCTTATCAATAATATTTGAACAGACCATAGCATTTTATAAAAAGAAATTATCAATTTAAAGTATAAAGTTCAATAAAATGAAGGTCCCACCGAGATTTGAACTCGGGTTACTGGATTCAGAGTCCAATGTCCTGACCACTAGACCATGGGACCATATATATCTGTAGGGGCAATTTATTCAATAATCTACTAAAGGTATCTACTGGTGTATCTCTTAATGAACATTTCCAACCTGACATAATAATTAATACGAGGCAAACATCATGAGCAGGTTATGGCTGGTTACGTGGCACCTCGGGTTGTTCATCTGCCTCACTTTTGGGCAAATTGGTTTCAAGGGAAGGACTGAGGACTACTTTTGAATTCCAAACTTATGTTCTTTTTTTTTGTTCCCCCACTTTTGTGTCCCAGTGCCTTGCTATCTATGATGTATGACTCTATGCTACCTTTTCCCTTCTTACTAGGAAAAATTTGTCTAATATCACCTTCATAATGTTGTATATTATTATTGTTGTACTTCTCCTCATCAATGCCCCAACTTTAGTCCTGCAAATTTTCAAAGGGTAGCCTGTAGTTTCAGTAACATATCATTATCATAATTATTGATCAAGAGAAAGAAATCATCTCTACTGCTCTAATGTTTTTTTCAAAATCAAGTTTAGGATTATGAATTGAATTTTCAAATTGAATATACTATTGAAATTATTTAATATTTGGGATTTTTATGTCTAATAAACTGACAAGATAAAGGTGGTGATTATATTCGAATATGTGTGATGGTAATTTTTGAAAGAGACGAATTTTGAAAAATGTAAGAAATCATTAATAATTAATTGATTTTTATCTGGTTCATCATTTAGAAGTCACTCACGGCACCACTTAATTGATTTTTAATTGTCATTTATTTCTTTAATCTCTTAGAAAAAGTATTAAGATGATATTAAAAAAATTCAAATGTCACCTATTTTTAATTTTATAGTCATTTATTTATTTATTTATTTTATCTTATATACAAATATTTAAGTGGTGTTTATTTTCTTTTTGTAGCCTTTTCTTTTTATAGTATGTTATTATTATTTTAAAGACTCTATATGGTCAAATAATTTTATTAGTCTTCCTTCTATATCAATTTAATTGAAAGGATTTTATTATAATTGATTTAAGAATTAAAGATTATTTGTTTACTTTTGCTTATGAATCAACGAACCACTATAGTGAACTCAGCGAATAAATTGAGATAGTATGAATGAGATTCTATGTTTTAGTAACATCAATTTGACTGATGTAAAAATAAATAAATACTAACATTAAATAATAATTGACATTTTGAACTCTTGAGCACACCAACAAAATTTTCCTGCCCTATCATTATTCTTCACATATTTATTGTTTGTGAGTCTCCAATCGTACTATCGAAGAACTAATTACAAGCAATGGTTTCAAAAGTTACTCATTTTCTTTCAAGTTTCAACCACTCTAGGTAGACCATTCGATGATGCACTGTAATTATTTATAATGAGGTGTTGGAAATTGCAACTAAAAACTATGAAAAATCACTACAAGAAATATTACATATAGTGACATTTTTTGACATATAATTACATATAATTTTAGTGTTGATTTTGAATGAGATTTAATAACATATTTTATGTATCACTATAACTTATGTCCACACTTTTTAATAATATACCAACATATATTATAATTATTGTGTAGGTAAAAGTAATTTTTAGTGACATGTATAGTTTCATTATAGGGTGTGTATCACTATATGATAAATTTCTTATAGTAAACACAACCTTAGTTGCAATATTGACGACATCATAGTTCCCTTCAAAAGGAATTGTTAATGTGTAGAACAAAACATTCAATCTGAAGTTGCTCAAAGAAAATGAAAAACTTTAATAATTCAGTTATGCTTATGAATTAACAAGATCTCATTCATAAATCATTTACCATTGTAACATCCACTATATCATAAAGATATTTACTTTATTTTTATTATTTATTACTTTGACTAATTACAAATATCGACTTTTTTTTCCTCATTACTTTTGTATTACTTTTCTCATAAAAGTATTAACACTATATGATATTATATATAAAGAGAAAAAGAGATAGATAAATAGAATTTAAATATATGATCATCATAACATCGACGAAATACATTATATATATATATATATATATATATATATGAAAGTCAATCTTAGATACCTTAGTCATACACAACAAAATGTGACCTAGGTTAGAGTAGTATATATATGGCTATACTATATTTATCCCAAAGTCTAGAAGGTCTAATAAAAAGTCAATAGTGAGTAAAAAGACCATATCCTTCAAAAGAGTACTTTGCATCTATTATTTTTATTTCCTCATCATTGTTGTCGTGATAAACTTTGATATACCAAAAATACCTTAGATAACTATAGGAGATGAGAAGACTCTTCATCTTATAAAATATCTCATTCTACTCGAATCATAGTCGTATATGAAAATAAACACAAAAAATGAGTGAGATTTCATAAGCCCCATTCTTTTTCCTCAATAGCTTTAAAAATACACAATCATCAAGCAAATAATTTTGGAAAATTCTATGGTCTGACCTACGTTATCATAACTCAACCATAATTTTTTACTAGACACATGAATTCCTACCATTTCCCTAATGATTCACTAATCATTAGGAAACCTAAGGGAGTAGTATATTCTTTCATAAAGTACAAACATCTATGACATTTTTGAATAATCTATTTTTTACTAGACATATGAATTCCTACCATTTCCTCTTTAAATATTAGTTTACAAACACATTTTTACATTATTTATAATTTGACTAGATTAAGTTTGTTTGATACACAATCTTATTTATAGAGCTTATAACTTATTTTCATAAATTAATTAACTTAGTTTATAACTTATAAGTTTTTAGTTTTTTTTCCCCTTTTATTATCATCATTAATTTATTTAAAATAACTTTTTATCCTTTTTAATTTAAAAATTATTGTTTCTATATATTAGTCTCTCACTTTTATTATTAAATAAATAAGAGTAAATTATGTTATTCTTCCATAAGAGATAAAAATATAATATTACTCTACCCTCTTATGTAAAATATATAATTTAATCTAATTAACTTATTTATTGTTAAAAATTACATGTGCATAATTTATGAATTCATATCCAAATATTCAACGGACTAATTAATAATAAAAAAAGGTGAAACTTAAAGGAGTATTACATAAATTATCTAATAAAATTCTAATTGATTCGAAAGATTTCTTACCAATTATTTACTAATGATAGTTTTGTGTTGAAGAGATTAACCATACAATAACGAGTTCAACTTGGAACCGTTTGGCATTATTCCTATTGAGAAAAAGTACATTGAAATTTAACTTTTTTTTTTTCTCCGTTTGCGATTGCGGGTGACTTGTGTCTTATAAGAACAAACACAAAGGAGTTCACTGAGTTTATTGAACTAGTGGTTGGACCAAAATTTATTTTCATCCATCGTTTCATCTAGCCAACGTAGCTTGTCTACAATGCTCAAATTAGGGAGGTTTCTCTGCAACATTATCATGTGATGCCCCCATTTTTGCTTCTTTGAACTTAAATAATTTTCTGTCTTAACTCTTATTTGCCATAAATTTCCCCCCTTTACCAATTACCATGATTTCTTATCTTGCCAAAGAGCATCGAGCCAATATGGGTTAGTATAAGTGACTAAAGATTTGAATTAAACTTTCATTTTTCTCATAAATGTAAATTTGAATTCTCTAATATTATTAAACTTCTGATTAGTTAACAACATTTTTGAGAGGATTCTTTGTAGTTTAAATGCATCTCTATTTCTCAAGTTTGTTGATATTGTTAGGATGACAATATTCAAACATTCAAAATGTTATATGCTTTGATACTTGATAGTTGGTTACACTTTTATCCTATAAAGAGAATTTTGGTTAGTTAAGGTCTTTAAGGAAAGTTTTTTGACTCTTAAAGACTTTTTGATGTATTAGAACAAATTTCAATTGAGACTAAAAAGTAAGAATGATTTAGATGGAGATTAAAAAGTAGTGACGGATTCAACAATTTTAAATAGTGAAGGCAATATTTTTTATATAAATTTGTAGCAATAAACATATAACTTTACATTTTTTAGAATAAAAATATACATTTTAATTGTTTTCTACGAGATTTCATATTCTAAAATTTTTCCTGAGACATATGATAACATTGATATTAAGTACTTATTCGCGGAAGTCCTTCAAGATACAACAAGGTTGTCTCAAGTAATTTGAGGAATAGAAATGACAATCTATGTAACAATTACTTGAATTGGTCTATAATGATAATTTTAAATATGTTTAAATATAAATTTAAAATTTTTTTACTAAAAAATACTTTTAATGTATAATAAAAAAACTCTAAAAAAATCCTTATAAACTATATAAATCAGGCTCTTTAAGTATATATTTAGTTGCACATAGAGGATCCAAGTTTAATATCAAATTAAAATCAATGATATGGAGTGTCTTTAGAAACTAGTTGAGTTCAACTCAACTAAGATTGAAAAAAAGTTACACTCAGTCAGAAACTTTGTTTTTTCTATATTGAAACGTATATTCTTTTGTTGAACGTGATTTCAAACTGGTAACCAAACATAGTCATGATAGCTTTCCTTTGAATGTGGAAAACCACGTTATCAAAGCATGACGAAACATAGCCTTAATATGTCATTAATGGTCTTCCCAAATACAATTGATCAGTGGTAGTGGTTTTCATTATAAACAAAGACCTATGTGAAGAGGCAGTGGACTAATTTGAAAACTGAATGGGGATATACCCACCCGTTTCCTTGTCCTATAAAAAAGTGTTGAGTTACGTCCTTGGGAGCATATCTGAGTAGTAGATACCGTGAATCTAAGACACAGTACTAGTAGAGTAAAGAAAGCGATAAAAGGTGGTGGCTGAATGCTGAATGCTGAATGCTGAATGCTGAATGCTGAATGCTGAATGGACGAAGAAGATTAACTTGGTATTAATGCTTGTGCCGTGCAAGTTCCCGCATACTTCCAGACATAACGGCCAAATGTCCAAACGAAACCACACTCTATGTTCCCATGCCAAAACCAAACAATCATCATAATACCCAAAATAACCCTCGTGAGGGCCTGCACACAACATTTTCCCTGTGTTTCCTTTACGACTAAAAGCCATGTTGAACCGTTTCTTAGGCCCCACATCGTCCTGTTACTTCTTGACATGATTGATTGCGAGTTTTAAGATGCACTACCTCACATTGGAGTAGGATTGCATTAGACAGTAGACACCCCCTCAATTATTATTCCGTACTAGTAATTTTTTGGCCTAACTCTGCAACTGTAATGTAATGTGTAACCTATTTTTTCTCCCTTTGTTTTATCTCACTTTCAATTATCTTACCTTACTTGATTTTCTCCATAAACGTCAGTGGAAATCTGTCTTAATTTGGTTGTAACGTTGGGGTTATCCCTATCTCATTGTTAATTTTGCTGACTGTCAAATTAAGAAAACAATAAATCAGTGGTATGACTGCTAATGATTTAGCATTCAATGCATCAATATATTGGAGTACTACTATCTTCCCACATGGTGAGACGTGACAATAATTAGTCCTCATCTTTCTATTAATCATCTTTCAATCATATCAAGAAAATTATTGGGATTGGTCCAATTAGAATACTAAGTTTTTAACTTCAAGGACTAATGCAGAAGGAAAAGAAAAAATTTTCTGGACAACAAAATCAGTTTATTGAACCAAAATATGTTCAATCACAAGAGAGATGAAATAAAATAATGTTATAAAAAGCATCACTGGAATATGTTGATGAATTAATTTAATTATAGAAAATGGTGGCATGGATGCCGTGAAAAGTCTGCAATATGGACAGATTAGAAGAACATTCCAGGTGTGATCAGGATTTAAGTGTTAAATGCACAATATGTTATAGAATTACAGAATCAGAAATGAATCAATGCAGTGCAGAGAATCATGCCAATAAATCAAGGCAATAAATTAATATATTACTGTAGTATATAGTCTTGGTAGGATGGACGTTTCCTTGAAGTTATAAGTAACAGAACACAACACATGCACGTCCCTGATTGAACGCACATGCTCCTCACGTGTCTGCCACGTTGTCTCTTGCAGTCTTTTTAAGGGGTTTTTCCAAGGAATCAGAGGACCAATAAACGGTGTGCACCTTCCCTCTCACGAGATCTCTCTCACTTTTTCTTTCTTTCCCTCTCACAAGCATACTTCACTAAACTCAACTTAAAGCTTGAGTTTATTTCCATCTCAAACGTATCTTTCCATTTTTTGACATGTTCCTACTTTCTATGGTCATCAACCCCCTTTAGCCGTTCAAAAATAATAGTGGAAGTAGAAGAAGATCTTTGATGACCCACTTTGCTAAATTCAAGGCTGAATAGTCCCATGTTGAGAAAAAGAAGATGATGATGCTGACCACAACTGTTATCACCTTGCTCCTAGGAACTTTGCGCAACTAGCACACTACCACCACCCTTATCCCGTGAAAGAATCCTCATGTAAATCTCTCTCACAATTCTCATCACCATGCCCTCGTGTCATCACACCAACACCAACAACCACCTCAACCTCAACGAAGGTCTCACACAGAACCACAACAAGACAAGGAAACGAGGTTGTTCCTCTTCCTCCTCATCCTCTTTGGTACGAAGATACCGTTTCAAGAGAGCCATTTTGGTTGGGAAAAAAGGAGGGTCTAGCACCTCAGTTCCTTTGTGGAAGACTAGGACGAGTTCTCCTTCTCTTCCTGCACAACACACAACGAAGCCTTTGCATTCTTGTGCCTCCATGTTGCCCTCCAAGGACAAGGAACTTTCCGTGTCAGCGAGGAAACTCGCTGCTACGCTGTGGGAAATCAATGATTTGCCTCCTTCGAGGGTCAAGAAGGAATTCGAGGTTGACCAACTGAGAGCGTGCAAGGAGAAGGTTCGAGGCAGAGAGAAAGGTGTCAGATCGGGCTTGTTGAGGCCACAGATGTCAGATCCATCGCATAGTCCTGCCTCGGAGGTGAATTCATTTTAACGTTTTTTTTTTCTTTCTTTTTGTTGCTTCGTGGGGTGTGGTTTGATTTTTTTGCTTTCGGTTTCTTTGTGCAGAGAATGAAGGGGCTTGAAGGGGATAGCTGCAAGAGAAGAGTGTCGGGGTTTTCCCATCAACTTCTATCGGGTGATTACTATTTGGATGCTCTTGATGCTCATATCAGTGCCCATTTTATTGAGGTAAAGAGTGAATTTGTTTATTATTTTATTTGGGATTGGGAGTAAGGGTTCTAGCTCAATTGGTTTAGCATACGATAGTTGTTGTAAACTTTTTTGGTACAAAGTTCAATTCCGATGAATCGACTTAGGATTTAGGATCCAATTGAAAAGTATGAGACTCGAGTCTAATGTTACAAGTATAGAATTTTAGTTAGAGGTTTGTTAATAAGGCCATGGGACCTCCAACTACAATAAATAGCTTTTGTAATTGTGGTATGAGATTCTAGTGTAGCCTTTATAAGGCTATTATCAGATTAAAATAAGCGGCACTTGATACGATGTTTTAAATTGTTATTAACGAATGGTTTGAGTTTTAAAGTAACAACCATGACCTTATAGCTCCTACTGTTATTTCACCCAGAACCAGTATGATATGTCCCTTTTACATGTTTTTTGATTTGGGATTTGCATTTCAATTGAAAGATATAGGTCTGATCTGTTAAATAATTTATACTTTCTTTGCAAATAATGGTATCTTGTATTTGTTGGCAAGGAAGAAACTGAGCTATGTAGAAAAGTTGAAATGCAGGAGGTGGAAAATCAGTTAAGAAATGAGAAGAATCGTGGGAAATGCACGGGTGGTGTTAAGAACCGTCTGAAGGAAGCTAGAAGTGGCCTATCTACATCAAAGAAGCTTCTAAAGGTGTTGAATCAAATGTGCCTTAGAGAGCAGCAAGCATCAAGCATGCCTCTTGTTTTGGCTCTGGGGAGTGAGCTTGATAGGGTGTGCCACCAAATTGATCAACTGATCCAAGAACAGCGCTCGAACTCGAACCAGAACGATATAGAGCATGTCATGAAGCATTTTGCAGAAGAGAAGGCTGCTTGGAAAAGAAGAGAACGAGAAAGGGTTCATGATGCCATAAAACATGTGGCAGAAGAGCTTGCAGTGGAGAAGAAGTTGAGAAGGCAAACTGAACGGTTGAATAAGAAGATTGCCAAAGAAATGGCTAGTGTGAAAGCTTCTCATTTGAAAGCTTCCAAAGAGCTTGAAAGGGAGAAGCGCGCAAAGGAGATTTTGGAGCAAATATGTGATGAACTAGCCAGAGGCATTGGTGAAGATAGAGCACAGGTGGAGGAACTGAAAAGGGAATCGGCTAAGGTTCGCGAGGAGGTGGAGAAGGAAAGGGAAATGCTTCAGTTAGCCGATGTTTTGCGCGAGGAGAGAGTCCAGATGAAGCTTTCTGAGGCTAAGTATCAGTTTGAGGAGAAAAATGCTTTTCTGGAGAAGCTCAGAAATGAGCTTGAGAACTACATGAGGACTAAAGATGGGCAAAATGAGGATGTTTCTCCAGAATGTAAAAAGATCAAGGATCTTGAGTCTTATTTCAATAATGTCTGTAGGGGATTCCAGAATGCAGAGAAAGAGGATGATTCGGATGTTGAAAATGATGTACAACATGAAGGAGATGATGATTCAGATGATAGTGATCTCCATTCCATTGAATTAAACATGGACAATGAGAGTAAAGGCTACAAGTGGGGTTATGCTTGTGAAAATGCTGCTCAAGATAAGAGGTTTTCATTTGACAAAGGGAGTATAGGGAGGAAGTCTTTCTCTGAGAAAATTCAGTGGGGAAGTATTTGCTTCAACAAGGGAGCTTCAAGTGGTAGGAAGAGGGATTTTTCTATAAATATTCAGGAATTTTCTGATCATTTTGATCCTGATAGGTCAATTGAATTTCTCTCACAAGCAAGGATACAAGATGATAAGGATGAAACTCAGAGCAATAGGTCTACCAAGGGGCTCCAAGACTCTATGTCATGTGCCAATTCTGATAAGAGAAATGGTCTACTATTAACTTTGCAGTGTGCTAGTAGAGAAGCGGGGGAAAATGCTCTTGCCCTGGAGGGTGACAATGCAGGAAAAAAAAATGGATGTTAAGAATTTTGATAGTGGTAGTTAGTAACTTATTATCAGAGATAGCTTATACTATTTCTGTTCTGAACTGTAAATGCTGTCTTTGATGAGTTGAATATGTTCAAGGTTTATTATCATTGTTATGTTGGTAATTGTTAAACCTATAGCAAGAAACATGTACATATTGAATAGAGTCGCATACTGCAGTTTTGTGCTGGCTACTTCTAACTTTACTGGCATTTAAAGTGCAAGTCCTTTTTTTTAATGCTCTATCATGGGTTTCTTTTGACTTATTGGGCGAGAGGCAAATCTGGTTGGTGACATTGTAATTGTCATTAGCTCTATTTGAATATTCAGATAACATATCTATATAAAAAAATTAAAAAAAATCTTATTGGAAGAAGTTGTTAGAAAAATTGCTGACTAAGAATGTCATTGTCACACATGGATTTTCCTTGTAGTTCCAAAAGTAAATAATGGAGACTTTTCGGCTTGGCCTCAAAACAAATGAGATAAGAACAAAGACTCTGCTGCTAAAAACTATTCTGGGGACACAATTATGTGTTTGAGATGTATAGTTGTGATTTAAATGAAACAGTACAGGCTGTGACAGCGTGACGGATAACATTATCATTGGATACTTCCAACTCCAACAATTCAAATATTTGAATTCTGTACTGTATGTTGCCTCCGTTTGGAACTTTGAATCAACCATCGTGTGGTGGGGCATATTTGATATAATTTGACAACAACGGCTTTAACTTTTAGCAAAACAAACATTTCCAAATTTTGAACTCCGTGTAACATTGAATGTGTTCGTAGCCACCTTCTGCTGTTTATATTAATTGAGCTAATAATTTTTTGAAAGCATACGTGTTGAGTTTATCTTCACATAGTAAAATTTATATGGATCACAGAATCAAAGGTACTCAAATGAATCTGTTTAGTAATTTTCATGAGTTGTAGCACGTTTATTTTTTATGGAACGTCCAGGGTCAGCACCCATACTAGGACCAACACCAAAAACTAAGACTTAATATCTTCGAGATACTCAACTCTATTTGAAGGATAGACTTCTAATATATTTTTTTTTTATATACACACTGGCCTGGACATTGAACTCCTAACAACATACTAGATTCATTTGGCACATGTAATTTAAAGTTCTTTTTTTTTTTTTTGAAAAATAAGAAAAAAGTTATGCCTATTACAAAATTACTTCAATCCGTACGTTACAATATACTGGGCGGAATCACAAGTTTTTCTATACCTGGATAAATAACTCAACTTTAGTTTTTATTTGAGCAGAGGTAGTTAAAGAAACTGTTGTTGTAAGTGCGATTCATTGGTGAAATATGTTCATAAAATCTAAGGGTACCGAATAAATCTATTTATTCATCTTTTTTATCTACAAGTAAACTCATCTATTACAATAAAAAAAATAATTAATCAGATTTAATCTATCTATTTAATTTTATGGACGGTTAATAATAATTTTAATCTATCTATTAAATCATAATAAGATGTTTATTAAATTGAGATTTTAAAATATTATTTTGACATATAAAAAAGTCACGTGAATTTTAAAAAAAATGGTATAAAAATATAATGACTAATAAAAAAGAGAGAAATAAATTATTTAAAAATAAAAATTATTTAATTTTTAAAACATTTTTATATATAGATTGGATATTTATCCATGAAAAAATTATTAATGGATGAATTAGATAAATTTTTTTATTTTATTTTAAATGGATTGAATTTTTACACAATTTTTTAATAGATCTAAATAGATTGATGAATTAATTTTACCCGATTCATTATGATTTATGTAAAAAATTATGCGATGCATTTATTTATCACCACTAATAAAAACAACTGTCAGTTGATTTGCTTAAGCTTTCATGCAAGCATACTTTCACAAGCTTAATTTTTAGCTTCCGAAATTAAGTTAAAAATAGCAAATGAGTTCCACTTCCAAGTTCCAATGTCATTTTAATGTGGTCATATAAACCAAGCCAAAATGCAAGCGCTCATCGTACAAGGTAAGCCCAAATAACCTTTCATATATATGGACATAAGTGGTTAACATACAAGGTGTCAGATAAGGCTATGTGGACAGGTTCAGAACTTGAGGTTCGGAAATTGCTGACCATGAAAGAAAGAAACTACTTGGTCTTGTCTTCAGTTTTTGTCGATGTTGATGCAAAAGTAACGGGGTTCGTTGGATGGTCCTTCACAATCAAGCTAAGTACTTCAGGCCTTGAATAGTGCCCAACTACATCAAAATCGAACTTAGCTCTTGCTATTTCTCCAAGATCTGTGCAAAATTTTCAAGAATCGCAGTGTTAATAGACAAATTCTTTTAATAATCGAACACAAAGAAAGTGATCCAACAAAGAATGTCCGAGCCAACCAAAAACAACCTCAACGAGTTCCATAGTTTTAGCTGACTATTTACAGTACATATACATTCTGTGTAGTTAACAATATAGGTCCACAGACAAAAGTTAACGAGAGTAGAAAACAAAGTCAAATCCTAGAGAAAAGATTCAAGAATGAATGAATTATTTTTCAGAGGAATAACTGCCAAGGTAAAGTCCCTTTGACAACTGAATGATGAGTTAGTTACAAATCTCATGGGTGTGGAGTGTGATTGATATTGACTTGATAGTAGATGATCCTATAGACCTAAAAAAATTGATAAAATAAACTTCAATACTATTTTAAGAAAGTGAATTAAATTTAACTCAATTTTACAAAATTAACTTATAAGATGAAGATTTTCATCACTTATACATTCTATTAAGGTCTTATCACTGATCGATATGTAATCTTTAACAAAATCAAATCAGGAAATCCCCTTATGTCAGTTATAGACATTGTAATTTATATATTGCCTAACTACGATGTACTTTAATATGCCTTCTTAACTATCTTACCCACTTCACTATTTCCTTTTGGTACATAAAGTACTAATCCTACTGAGCAATGCAAGACAATTGATGCAGCAAGAGTAAATATGACATACCAAGATCTGCTGAGATTAGTGCCTCCCCATCATAGTTTGGTCCAGCCAGAACAGCCCCGGATGGTGATATAATGGCACTACCCCCAGCACATACAACAGAATCTGGTGTCAGATCCTCTTCTATGCCAGCAAAAACATACTCTGGAGGGGGTGGGTAATCCTTTCTCCTACAGAACTGGTTAGCTGACAAAACAAAACATCCACCTTCAAGAGCAATATGGGTCATTGATGCTTGCCACACCTCCCTGGAATCAGCTGTAGGAGCACAATATATCTCCACACCTGTTAAACAAAGAATTAAATTAGAATGCACTAAGGGCGTAAAAATGTCATCTAATCGTAAATTGCCAAGTAACAAGAGTTATTGACTTTTGTAACAATTACTTTAAAATTCATATTTTTTAATGCACTGATTGTGTAAAGTCTTTAACATTGAGAGTGTTAAATTTAAATTTGCTGAACAAATCCCCATAGATTTAGCAAAAATCTGAAAATAAATAATACATACATTGATAGTATAAAAATCTTTTACAAAATCATCTAATTACCAACCGTCAGGTATGATAAGCTTTTTGACATTTATATTAACCATCTTAAACTATAAACAGTAAAAAAAAACTTTTACGTTGATTGTGTATGCTCGTTGCTTGATAAACTCAACATAACAACACACTACACTGGTGTAAGCAACCAGCCCCAGTACAAGAAATAGAACCTTTAAATGGTCTTCTGTAATGTTTCTCATACAACAAACTGCCACAATGTGTAAAAGGAAAATAGAAATCTAACACAAAGAACTCTAACCTTTAGCATACATTGCAGTCCTTAATAGTGGCATTCTGTTCTCCCAACAAATGGCAGCACCTAGTTTTCCAATGGGAGTTTCAAAGACTGGAATGGTTGATCCATCACCAAACCCCCAGATAACCCGCTCCAATGCAGTTGGCATGATTTTCCTGTGCTTTCCTAGATAACGACCTTGAGAATCAAAGAAGAGAACTGTGCAATAAAGAGTGTAGCCATCCCTCTCTATCACACCCATCACTAAATATACTTTATACTTCCCTGCCATTGCTGCCAATCTATCCACTTCAGGACCTACAACAATACAAGGTTTGTTAATGGAAACTGCGTGCCCGCACTAACTTGGATCTGATAGAATAAACGAGTGATAATTTTAGGGATGAAATTTTTATATGTAAAATTCTTCCACAGGTTACTCACCTTCAACTTTAATGTAACACCAAATTGATTCTCAGGTCAGTTCGGTAAAAGATAAAAATAAAGGTAAAAAAAAATTATGCGTACTTTTTTCATAAGTTTTGAGTATTATATTAAAAAATTATGCATAAAATTTTCACCTCTATTATAATATCACACCATACAAACCTTAGTCTTAATTCTCAGGCTGAAATGAATAATATAATGTCAGCAGCCTGATTCCTTATTCCTTTCTATGTTTGTTAAAATAAAACAATCAGTTGACAGTGGCACACCGAATTAGACTAAGAAAATACATGTACAACCAAAGGTGGTCAAACTTCTCGGTCTTACACTGTACTAGAGTTCTTTGTCGGTCAAATGCTAAAGACAAGACATTTTGAGGGTGAAGTCAGTATTTGCAAGTGATCAAATAACGATCCTGATAACAAGTGACATAATAGACTAGATAAAAATTACAATGACACATAAATATGTGTATGAACTTAACTCAACTTTACATAAAGGATGAAAATAACTCCAACTTATATACTATATTTCAGCCATATCACTTGAGTTGTGGATTTGGATCTACGATGCTTTATGATATAAAACGGTTGTATAATAGTTTGTTGCAACATAAAGTAAGTAAGCAACGGCGATGTGAGTGTTTGATGTTTAGCTCTTACCAGGCACATCAATGGCTGCAGAATGATACCTGCGGAACTCTTCTCTACCCTTGGGCGTGCGATTTCCAATAGAAACACCAAAAGTTGAACCACGCGGATAGCCACCCACAAATGCTTCTGGAAACACCACAAGCTGGGATCCATAGCCCGCAGCTTCAGCCAAGAACCTCTCAGCTTTATCTGTACACAAAGAGACAAAACCATCATCACCAAGACACCAACCAATAGAGAGACTTACCCCAGATGGAGTTTTGAAGGCGAAAAGAGAAAAAGAAGAGAAAATAGAGAGCATAGGGGAAAAGGGTAAGTGGCGAAAAGAGAAAGGTAGAAAATTGGACCTAAAGTGGCTGGAGTGTCGTAGAAGATGGTGGAGGCTTGAACAACGGTGGCTCGGACAGTGGGGGCGTTGAAATCGGAACCCATGTCAACCTCAGCGAACAGAGGCCCCTCGTTCATGGTTGGGTTTGTTGTTACGAGTGCCATGTCTTTCGCAACTTCACTCTCCTCTCATCCTCTTCAACATCACTAAGCTCAAACATCCCTTCCTAACTATTTATCTATGTTCAAAAATTTCGAGCCATATAGAAATATTTCCAGTATTATGTTCCTCTAGTTTTATCCATTTCTAAATTTTGTTCCGTTATTTTAAAATTAAGATATCTATTTTTTTTTTTTAAATATAAAATTTTAATTTTTCATCATTAAGGGTTAAATTTGAATGTTTATTTATATTTAAGTGTTAAAATATTTAATAATACGATATTTAGAGATTAAAAAATGTAAATAAAATTTATTAATAAAATAAAAATTAAATTAAATTTTTATATTTTTTTTTTATTTTTCATTAATTCATAATTTAGACTCTCTATTTTAAAATAAAGCCATTAAGTCTTTATAATTTTACAAATACTAGATTTTGATTTTTTAAATTAAATTGACACCTATTAATCATTAAATTTTAATATTTATTTATAATTAAGTGATGTGATATTTAATAATAAAATATTTTTTTTTAAAAATTTATTAACAAATAAATATCAATTAATTGTAATATATTATTTTTAATTTTAATTTTTATATGTCATTTCATTAAATATTACATTATTTAAGTGATGATAAGATAGATAACAATAAAATTGAACTTTCGATAAACATCAAATTAATAATAGAATCAAAATTATATATATTTTTTTTAAAATAGGAAGACTAAATGTTCTATTTTAAATAAAGAGATTAAAATTATATATTGACAAAAACAAATAAATTAAAAGTGTAATTTAGAATTTAATATTATAAAAATATATAATTATTTTTTGTCTCTGATTTTTAAGTAAACTTCTTCAGATATTAAAAAGGGAAAATAATCGATTTCTCATCTCTCCTAGTAACTACCCCCAATCACGTGTATCTCATTATCTCTTTTATTTATTTATTTATTTTTTTATAATTTTTTTAAATTAAGAAGCACACCTCCTTTTCCTGCATAATATAATATAATAAAACTGTATTTTTTTTTACAAATAAATCTTGAAAAGTTCATATAACATTTTTATAATTTATAAGTTCATAATAATCTAAACTCTAAAGTAGTATAAAAGCCTGATATACAAATCAAATATGAAATTGTTTTACAAGAGTTTATTTATTTTACTAGTCACAGAAAAAAAAAATCACTTTTTTTCAATAGCAAACCCAAAAATTGTTTATTTTGCTTTAAAAATATTATGACATCGAAATATAATTTGTTAGAAAAACTCACATCCACGGTTAACTTAATTGATTGGAAGAAAAAAAAATGGGCCTCTAGCCCTCCCCGTACCCAAAAATAAAAATATTGAAAAAAAAACATCTGCAACTAGGTTATCTCATGCTTTTTTGTAGACCATTATTGGTTGGGCTCGGTTATTCTCACATCTTTTTTGTGATTCCTACGCTAACTTTTCATAGATAATCTCTTAATAAACCAAGGCTCATAAACTTCACCTCAGACAATAAGAACCTGTACTATGAGAGTTTTACATACAATCACTTCTCTCTCAACACCTCCTACACCAACAACCTCAAATGCTCACTATAATCTTCTAAGAACATAGAATATATTAAAATATCATTGATAAATATCACCATTAACCTATTTAAGAAAGGTTAATCATATTCATATAATTCATGAATAATTGAGAAAATTTTATTTTAATATAGATCTCATAATCCTTTTTCTTTCTTCTCTCACTTTTTATTTTCTTTTTTAAATAATTAAAAACTTCATTCTCTTCTACTTTTTTCTTTCTTTCTATTTTTCTCATACTTTTCTCATTCCAAAATCCAAAAATCCCATACTCAACGTACACCGATGAAAACGGATCCAATGATATTCATTCATTATCTGCATACCATTGATTAACATATTATTAGACTTAAATTAAATTTTAAATAATTTTTTTTTAAAAGATTAAATTATATATTTTTTTTCTTTTTATTAATCTATAATAGCTAAAAGGCATTTTTCTTGCTCAGGGTGCTGTATATACGAGATGGCTGCTCATCGCCCTGCTTTTAAAGCTTTTGTAAGATTTCTTTTGATTTTTTACTTTAAAATAGTTATAGTTAGGATGTAATTCGTTTAATTGAAGAAGTAGATTGCATGCTAAGTTTTTATCCGAGTTTGAAAAGCTACCACCTACAAGATATGTTCTACTCAACATATAGTTTCCTAATATTTTTCTTGAACTTTGTTGATTAGAGTTGTTGAGTGATGTTTTCTTGTTGGTAGAATATGTTTCATGTGATTCTCTGCGGTATATATAGACAATTATGTTTTATGTATGTGGAGGTATCTCACCATGGTTTATTTCTTGGGTTTTAACAATGGCATGGTAAATCATGTTTCAGGATATGGCAGGATTGATAAGCAAGATAAACCGTTCTTCCATTGGCCCTTTGCCTCCATGTTATTCCCCTTCGTTGTAAGTTTCCATCTGCTTTTGGGGAGATTAATATTCTTTTGTCACTACCCTTCATGATGAAAGCCGGTTTAAGACAGTGAGATATAGTTGTTACTTGCTACTGTGCACACATTTACCCGTGTTAAGGCCATAGAGTGCATTTTGCTGTGCAACTCCAACTTTGTTTATTCTCCATTGTTTTTTTTTATAATCACCGTCGAATATGAGCTGTAGGTCTAGCAAAGCTACTTAAGATTAAAAAAAACAATGTTTGTGAAACCATGCATCTTAAGATGTTTCTGCTATTCATATAGAAAGGACCATATAGGACAATGTCTGTGAAATATGAAGGCTTGCATTGGAATTAGGAAAAATTTAAAGCATCTTCTAGCAGTTGATGAGAAAGATCAAGTTTTGTTTACTTACTAGTTCAATTTGTTATTTTTCTCTTCAAGAATCTAAGTTGTTGACTACTGTAACTACAGGAAAACATTGATAAAGGGCATGCTAAGAAAAAATCCTGAGCATCGGCCAACAGTAAGCCTTTTTTTGAGAATCATTAATTTCCAATGTGGAAATGGTTAAATATTATTGCTTTTTCTAAATATCTTCACTTCATATTTTTCACAGGCATCTGAGGTGTTAAAGCACCCCTATTTGCAGCCTTATGTTGACCAATATCGTCCATCTTTCAGTCCTCCAACAACCTGTTCTCCTGAAAAACCAATTTCTGCTGTCAATGATCCTCGAAAAAATATGGCTGAAAGCCAAAACAGCAATAGTTCAAGTAGTGACAAAGATAGTTTGATGTCAAATGAGAAAAACATTGCAACTGAGATAATAAACAAGTTTGCAACAGCAAGGTCTCTCAGCTGAAAGAGCCCGAATTCTAGAAAAGATCTTGTCCTATTATCAATAAGAGCAATAACACTTTTCTTATCTATCAAATTTCAAGCAAGCAAGCAAATTCAGTTCACTCAAACAACACTCAATTCCTATTTCCACTATTTTCTTTGTCTGAAATATAGTTTGTAACTTAAAAGGATCAGGAAAATAACGCTTGCTCACTAGAGGGAAAGGTATGGGGCTGAAAATTTATGTTTTGCATGAAGCAAATTAATAATATAGAAAAGTTATTTTTAAATTATAAAATTTTAAAAAATAATATAAAATAATTTTATAAAAGAGACGTAAGCCAATTGCTTATGCAGGCCTGCACATGCAAAACGTTGTCACTATTTTTCTAGTCCTACCGTCCTACTCAGTGGGACAGTCGAGTTGAAAGATGACATTTTAGGTTGAAAATTACAAAATGAAAGGGACTCTTTTATTTCCAAAAGAAACCTCTATGAAATACGAAACTACTTAATGATTTATTTGGATAAAGACAGAAAATATGAAATAAAAATTTGGATAAAATGAAGTAAGAAATAAGAGAAAATGAGTAAAAACTTATTAGATTATTTCAGATATTTAAATTGAAAGAAATAAGAGAAGAATAAAAGATAAACAAAACGTAGATGACTAATTCTACTTTTAGACTATTTTTTTTATTAATTAGTAATTTTAGTCTCTATTTTAAAATATAAATATTTAATCTTTTTAAATTTTAAATTTTTTTATCCTTCTATTAAATTGACATCTATTAATTATTAAATTATAATATTTGTTTACATTTTACTGATATAACATTTAGTAATATGACATTAAGAAATAAAAAATATGAAAATAAAATTTATTAATAAAATAAATATCAATCATTCATTGACTTATTTTTTTAAAATTTTATCTCTACATATCATATCACTAAATATTATGTAATCAATTTATATGATGACAAATTATTAAACAATATAAAAAATTAATGATTAACAAGCATTAAATTGATGATATAATCAAAATTATGTATTTTAAAAAATAGGGGACAAATGTCTCTATTTTAAAATAGAGAAATCAAATTGCAAAATGACAAAAATAAAAAATTAAAAGTACAATTTAGTCAAAATAAATTATATATATATATATATATATATATGTTGTTTTTCTAATTATTTTAAAATTTTAATTTGATTTCATTATTTGAAAATGATTTAATTTAGTTATTTTTTCAAATATTCATCTTACCTTTATGTCTAAATTAACCACTAATGATATTAATGAAAGTCGACAACAACGTATCATCTAACATTTTCTTAAATGAAAGAATTAAATTAAATTATTTAAAAATAGTAAAATTAAATTAAATTATAAAAATAGATAAATAAATGTCAAAAAAATACAATTTAGTTAAAAAGTTTACAAAGAGTATATTTTTTTTAATGGATTCCATTTTTCTTTTTTACAAATTTATTACAAAATCTCTTTTATCTAAGTAGAAATTAATTTTATCATGGGTTCAAAATTTTTTCTCTCTCTCTTTTCCACTTTTTATTTTTTCAAATAATTAAAAAAATTAGTTTCTCTTCTAAATCTTTTTCTTGTATATTCTTTTACTAAATTTAGTTGAGACTTAAGACTTTCTCCATCTTATAATACGTGTCATTTTGGATTATTTTTATACATAAAATAATTAATTAATAGATAAAAAAGAATAATAATTTATAAATTTAACCTTATATTTAATTTTTCTTGTTAAAAGTTGTGAGACCCGTCCTCTTACTCCCCTTCCCTCTCAACATTTCATTTTTAGTCTCAATTTCTTCCTCTCACTTTCTCCTTCCCGCTCTTTTTGCCTTGTTCAGATTCTCAATCCATTGGAGTTGTAGGTGCTGAGTAGAAGTTAGCTGAGGGCACATAGTTCCTTCACCCTTGTTCCATATCTCCAAGTTTCTCCTTTTCTCTCCTTCTCTTCCGCTTCCCCAGAGCTTGGATTCTTCTTCTCCGAGGTAAGGGAAGCTAGATTTTTGTGCGGATTGTTTGAAATGAGTTTAGAAACTCAAAGGTTGCTTGATTCTTGGAGAATGATGGTCTGATTTGGGTGAAAATTTCATTTTTGGGATTTCGGGGAAAATGGTGAAAATCTGGGATTTCAATTTGTTGATGGTTGCATGTTGAAAATGAGTTGATTTTTGGATTGTATGATGAAAATGTGGTTCATTTGATGGATTGCATGTGTTTGAGCTGGTTGATTTTGCAGGTTTTGGGTGAAATTTTCTAAGTTTGAGGGTTGCTGTTTATAATTACGCCAGGCGTAGTTCTTGGCACCAGACTTGTAACCATCAGAGAGTTCCATTGATCAAGCACGTCGGGCGCAAGGCTAACTGCGCCGGGCGAGCTTGGGAATGGAAGCCCCTAGATGGCTCACGCCAGGCGTGGAAGAACCGCGCTGGGCATGATATCATACAGGGACTCAAGTAGTTGGGTTACTGGTGTGGCGCCGGGCGTGATTGGATCTCGTTGGGCGTTGAGACTCCCTGAGAGTCTCTGCCAGGAGTGGCGGCGGGCGCAATTGGAATTGCGCCGGGCGTGAGACCTTGGGGCGGTCTTTGCCTTACTTGCGCCGAGCTCGGGTTTGGTACGTTGGGCTTGTGAGACTCCTGAGAGTCTCTGCCTTCTATTGCGCCGGGCGCGTAAGAGCTTTGGAGCTCTCTGGTTGGTCCAGGCTGGGCACAAATCCTATTACGCCAGGCGTGAATGTTTTTTTTTATGACTATGCTGATTAATGTTGTATGATGTAAAGTTGAGTTGTGCTGTATAATGTTTATGCTGATGAATGTTGTTATGCCGAGCTGTGTTGTATGTTGTCTAAGCTGTTAATACTGTTAAGCTGAGCTATGCTGAGTGTTGAATATGCTGTTTAAAATAGTTGAGATGTGTTGATGAATATGAACTGTGTAGGCCGTAAGGCTGAGCTGTTGATCACTAAGACTGGAGGAGATGTTTTTCGAAGTTGCTCATCCCTTTGTCTGGATTGAGGAAGTTGTGGTGCTCTTAGAGCCCAATTTGTTGAAAACCCTCCTTGGGAAGCTGTCCCTTGGAGTGGTCACTATACTATTCTCCTTTAAGTACTTAGTTGGTCTCGTGTGTGGGCAAGGTCGAGGAACACGTGTACAAAGTGACCACGGTATAGGGGTCAGGTCGAGCTATACCGATTACAAGCGGCCAATCGAGTAAAGTACGAAGTCGGGAACTTAGTTCCTAACTGAGTATCGAAAGGTTGTAGTATTTGGAAGATAGTCGGTAGGCAAATTCCATAGGTGGCTTAGTTAAGCTAGCTAATGTCGTGGTAGGCCTAAAACCCAGCTGTTCTATCCTGACATAGTATCATACTTCCTTGTTTAAGTGGCAAAGTCTGAGAAATCGTGAAGTTGTTGATTGATATCCAAATTGCTGTTTACCTAGTAAACCAAAAAGGTTTTTTGCTATCGGTTCGGTAGGACCTAGCCACTTAAGCTGCTCACCTTTATTGTAGGAGATCTCCGAGTTGAAATGCGTGACGACGCATAAGCTGTTAGATGTTGATTTTGTTGAATGATATGAGCTGTATGTGTGCAGTGTGTTGTGAAGCTGATATGTAGATGTATGCTATTATGTGTTGCATGTTAACTTTGATGAAATTGATGATGTGCTATTAAGTTGAAGCTGTTTAAATTCATTTATATGCTGATTCTTTTTACTAGCTTACCCTTGCCTGTTTTCGTGTGGGTTGGATTGCAATGATCATACTGTGTATGGGAGCAGAGCAGGGATAGGTTGGAGTATAGTAGCAAGACTGCAACTGGCAGATAGAGCTGATATTTTGTTGTTTTTGGCTACTTAGTGTAGCTAGGTTGATGCTTATTTGTATATTGACTTGTTGAGCCTCAGGCTAGACCTATGTATATATATATTCTATTTATATGCATACTCTATTCTGTGTGGTGTTGTTGTTATGCGACGGCTAGGCGGGTCATTACAAAAGTAATACAACACAAAATCTCTATCTAATATGAATAGAAAAAAAAATAATACTACATAAAAAAAAATTAATGTAACACTTGAAATATAAATCATGTTCCAAAATTACACATGCTAATTGACAAAAGTATCCGTGAATGCAAATTTTTTTTACCCGATTGAAGTCCAGAAAAGCTTAAAATTTTTCCTTCAAAATTGTGAAGGTTTCACATATATCCATACCGAGAGTAATCTTTCCTTACCAAAACACCTTGACTGTGAACTTTTTTCAGCAATATGAATAAAAAAGAGTGAAAGTATTTTTCATATGGAACTCTTATCTTCTATGCAGTTATTTACTCTTTATATAACAATAAATTATAAATGATTAGCTATCTAAAATCACCAATCATGCATCAATAATATCTTTATCCTCTTATCTTACAATTCGGAACAAGAGCAAAACGGTTTGCACGTTGAGTGCATTTCCTTATCCATATACCAATTTAACTACAAGTTTAAGTCAATTTAAAGATAAATATCATTTAAATAGCAAAGCAACATCTTTATCAAAAAGGTTCTCCTTTTTTGAAATTTTCAAATAGGTTCTCCTTTTAGTTGGAATATACCGTAAGTTCCTATTTCTTTATCATCACAATGCTATTTTGACCAAATCAAATTGTATTGAAAAATTTGATCGTGAGCATGTTTCAAAATATTTCAACATTTGAAATATTAATTAAAATCTGTCATTCCTCTACTTTGAATAGAGTATATATTATTTCTACTTTTTGGTACTAGTAAAAAAATATTATAATATTTCACTTACAAGAAAAATACTTTATTTGATAAAAACTAAAATTTTGAATTTAATTATCAAATAATAAATTTTTCTTTAACAAATATTAGAAGACTTATTAATGTGTGACCCTGTAAATACAAAACTAAATTTCTAGTAAACTAACAACATTAATTTACTAATTAAAATTGACGTCCAGTAACACTCCTTAACATTCAGATAATATGAAATAATATTTTATATTTTCAAGAACCTTTAGAAGAATAACATAATATTTCCTTCCATCTTTATAACTCCAACTTAACTCTAGAATATGGTTTAATTGTCAAATTCTATTAAGTTAATATATAATAAAAAAATCAAGAAACTCTTTTTCTTTATTCTTTTAATTGCCTCAATCAAGGTCTTTATTTTTTCATTATAGAGTTCAAACTCATTATCAAGGATTGATTGATTCTTTCTTGATTACTCATCTAATTCTACAAGAATTTAATTATACCCGGTACCGTAATCATTCAACTAACACCTTAAGGTATTAGGTGTCCGAAATCAAAGTATAATGAATGTCTTGTTAGTTATTATAATAATCTCAAGTCGAAGGAAATTATTACATTCTTCACTGAAATTTCCTATTGACAATTCTAAGGTAATATTTAACCATGAGAAAATCTCCTTTTGAGTGAGTTTAATAGTCATATTCCTATATGCACCATTTATATGTGTAATTTAATAAATGAGATCTATTAATCTTTATCCAATAAAGACCATTATACATATATTGATATACTCAGATTAATGATGTCTTATTCTTAATAATTTTATAATCAATAACAATTTAGATAAAAATTATGAAAGACTTATTTCTCATTATTATAATCTCTATTATAAAAACAAATCTCTAATTTTAATTAAGGACCTTATCATATTAATTATTGTCACAAATAATAAATATAATAATAAAACAATAAAATATAATTTTATTAATACAAACATGAATACATGATAGATTAGATCTTGGACATACCTCACATCCCTAACAATATTTATTTTAAAACTTATTTTTTTCTCCAAACATAAAAGTTATCATTACAAACAATGGGTTAGATACTCTATAAAATAGAAAGCAGATCATAGATATATATTTCATATCCTTAGTATAACGCACAGCACTTCTTTCTAGAACACTTCGAAGTTGAAGTGAATATCGTATACTTTACTTGGCTATCCCAAACCTCAGCCATGGCTAGTGTCTCACAGCTGATCTCAGCGGTCGAAAGAAGGTAACGAAATTAAAGTCGCAACTTAACCTCCTTTTGCACACACACAGTTTATCAATTCATTTAATTTATCACATGACATGTATAAATATACGCGCAAGTATGCAGCAGAGTTAATGAATATATATATATATATATATATATATATATATATCTTTAGAAAAGCTTTTTGAAAATTTTCACCGATAAAACTCAATCGCAATTTCTTAAAAGCACTTTTTTTAATAAACTAACTTGCATCTAACATACTCTAGGCTTGATAATTAATGGTTTTGAAGGCTTGCGGGGAAGGTGGCTCTTGTGACCGGTGGTGCAAGCGGCATAGGTGAAGCCACTGCAAGACTCTTCTCGAAGCACGGAGCAAACGTTGTGATAGCTGATATTCAAGACAATCTGGGCCTCTCTCTTTGCAAACACTTAGAATCCGCTTCCTATGTCCACTGCGACGTGACAAACGAGAACGACGTCGAAAACGCCGTGAACGCCGCCGTTTCGGAGCACGGCAAACTCGACATCATGGTGAACAACGCGGGCATAAGCGGCCCGATCAAAGCCAGCATCCTGGACAACACAAAGTCAGAGTTCGAGGCGGTGATAAACATCAACCTAGTCGGCGTGTTTCTCGGGACGAAGCACGCCGCACGTGTGATGGTCCCTGCGCGAAGAGGAAGCATAATCAACACCGCAAGCGTGTGCGGAAGCATAGGTGGCGTGGCCTCGCACGCGTACACGAGTTCGAAGCACGCGGTGGTGGGGCTGACGAGGAACACCGCGGTGGAGCTTGGACAGTTCGGTGTGAGGGTGAATTGCGTGTCGCCCTATCTGGTTGCCACGCCCTTGACTATGGATTTCTTCAAGCTTGATGAGGAGGGAGCTCTTGGCGTTTACTCTAACCTGAAGGATGCTGTCCTTGAACCCAAGGATGTGGCAGAAGCTGCGCTTTACTTGGGGAGTGACGCCTCCAAGTATGTTAGTGGCCACAATCTTGTGGTTGATGGAGGCTTTACTATTGTCAATACTGGGCTTTGTGTCCTTGGCCAATCTGTTGTGTGAAATATTGTCCGCATGTCGTTGCCTAATTGTTGCTGTTGATGGTTTCAGTGTTTATGTCATGCTAGCTTGTATACGTATCTATTGAATATTATCTCATTTTCATTTTGGATACCTCCACTTTAAGATAATTAAATTGTCATATAATCTAGTACTACTAATTACGTCTTATGAGTGTTGTTCCTGTGTTAGGATACACACTTCAATTATCCTTGCTGTAGCGGGTCAGATCCTGGGTCTCAGTCTTCTCGTTTCTATCCGGGTAGTCCGATGTGAGGGGGGTGTGCCTGCAAAGACACTCCAACGCTCAAGTAAGTGCTCGGCGTAATAAATGCGGTAGTTAAAAGTTGATTACATACCTCGTTGGGGTCCTATTTATAGTGATTCTTATTGGGCCGTGATTAGGGATTGGGCCCCGAAAAATTAGGGGGTTAATCCGATGCATTACGTTAATTAAGCTCTTCGTAATCTTGGCGTAATCCCGTGTCTCGGCCGAGTAAACCGACACGTTTTGTTCCGTGAGTGGTCGGTGGGCTCGGGTGTTCGATTTTGTCGGTCCCGGACTCGGGTATTCGGTCGAGTTGGTTACTAGCAAGGGTGTTCGGCCAAGTCGGCCTCCATACGGTATACAACCCCCGCAGCGTCAAGGATGGGAAAGACGAAGACGGTCTAAGCTGTGAGGTGGTGGTCTTCAGCGTAGGAGGATAAATGTTATCACCGATCGCTAGTGGTGATGTGCGCGTTTCCATGACTTCAGTGGTTGTGCCGGAACGTCGCATTTAGTCATCGGCTATCATGTTTTACCGACTATTTTAGCCGATAACGTCATCGTTGTTTAGCTGGGCTCTGATGGTATGCTGAGACCTCAAGCTGATGAAGTCTTTGCCGAGGTCTCGCTATGCGGGGTCTATGCCGAGACCTCGGCAGGATGAGGCCTGTGATCTCACTGGGCGGAGTTTGTGCTGAGACCTCGGCTGGAGGGGGTCTGTGCCGAGATCTCAAGCGTCGAAAGCCATAGTCGAGAACTCGGTGGATGTGGTCTGCCACGTTGGCCCTAG